CGACGGACGACACATCGCGATCCAGGCGGCAGTGAGAGGACTTGAATGATGGAGAATATTGCTCCGTCGTGGCTGGCCCATCTAACCTCCGACAGTGTAGAGGAGCTACCACAGCTCTAAAGTCAGAGGAAGACTTTACGGGTTAAGCCAGAGGCCTACGGCTAACAGCCAATTAGTTGTGAGGGCTAGTAGCCGATTGATTCTAAGGAGCTAGTATATCAAGTTAAAAAATCGGCTAGTTCTACGGAACTTAGCGCGGACTCTATGAGCTATAAGCTCAGACTACTGTAGTTCTAAGGAACTACACGCACAGTGTGCAAAGGGAATACAGGAGTCTAAGGACTCTCTAACCCACGACAGTTCTAAGGAACTGTCAAGCGCAACGTGTGGAGGGGGAAGTCTACGGACTTCCGCTCAAAAATGAGAACTAAATTTATTCAGATTTTATGTCAAGATAATCCTACTTTAAGTACCCTCTATTATACTAAACTAGAACCAATACAGATACAGGTGTTCGAAATAAGTGGGTGTTTGGCACATCGCTCAGTCATCAAATGATGACGGTACAAAGTACTTCCAGGGTAAGTAACATAGCTCAGAGAATACCGACCAATCGGTACTTTCTATTAATATAAAATCTAAGGCCACACTTGTGTACCATATCACATTCAGGAGGTCTTCAACCACACTAGCCGATGGATAGTGTGACCCCGTTACAGACGGGTAGTCTAACACCGCGACGAAATAGCTCGCTATTGCAATTCGGATATGCTCTTCTGGTAACACCGGAATCGTTGGATGTTCTTTATTATGCAAAAGGCTTCGATGGTTTCTTCCGAAGCTGCCTAGGAGAAGCCGACTTCTCTGAATGAGCAGAATTTAATTCGTGATGGCGCTTCTTCCTTGTACTCAGTTCTTTTGGTTTGCTAAATCCCCTGCCGTCGTCGTACCCGACATAGGAGCACAAACACAGCAGCACAGGTGCTCTGAGCGTAAAATTAAACAGAAAGCAAAAAAACTACGTGGGCGCTCTGGTCGCAAATTTGGATTGGGCACCAATTTAACTAAAGCTGAAGGACAAAACGAAAAATCGGTAGCACAGTGCACATGATAATTTAATTCGTCATCGCTCTATGAGCTCTATTTTCCGTTATCTCTAAAAACACGGTAAGTAATGATCATAATAAAAAAACTTGATTTTGCGCAAAGCTCAGCATTACTCAATTATTTAGCACTACTCAATTATTCTGGCAGCCGAAATGCGAAAAAACGACGATCGATACTATCGAGTTGAGGAAAGATCCACAAATGCGTGACTTGGTTGGTTGTGATTGCAAGTCTCTGCTACAAATCATTATTCTACACGTCCATTCCATGAGGTTCTCGACAACGCCGCCTGGACGTTCTCACGTCAACTCAATTCATGCCGACTGAAGCAATTTATAACGTGTTGCAGGTGACTGCATATTTATCTGCTGATTCCCGTTTAGTGGTACAGTACTACGTGCTGCTATAGATCCTGGCATTCATATTGTGCTATCAATCAAATGTGTTTTGCAAGCTACACGTCATGAACGGCGTTTTTTATGCCCCATTCTACCAGGCATCGTAAAATGAGCGACCAGCTATCCTTGATGGCAGATAGCAAGATAGTGTTTTATCTACTGCATTTGTGGTGAAGGTATAATCAGGCTATCAGCTCGAGTATCTCGCAAGCACAGCTGATTTCGTCGAAAGTGTCTGTAAGAGGCACCGCCGAGAGGCTAGCGCGGTACGCTTCCGACTTGCACTTCAGGATGCTAGAGTCACCCCCGTCGTCTTATCGACAAAGGATGTAGATGGACCACTGCAGGAGGAGTGCGGATAGTTTGAGGCGGGCTGGGAGGTAGGGCGTCTTGGACGTCATTTATTGCAGTCCTTTTAGTTGTACCGTCACTGTCAGCGATGCTCTTGTAGCAAGACGCACCGTCGTACTCGGGGATTGTCGACAATAAACGAATCTGATCCTACGTGTAACGGGGCACCCTGAAGCTTGTAATGGTGACAGTACAAGCTACTTATTCTGATGACAGAATAAGGCGGTGCCTCGTAACTTCACGTACACTCGTACGTGCAGAGGAAGACGGTAAGGAGAAGCGAGTACTTGGTTAAAGTAAAAAGTAGAACTGTATTTAGTATAGTTAATGTCTGCAATAAATCACTATTTATCTTCATCTAACTATGTCTAAATACAAATGTGTAAATTGGTTATCTGCTCACCACTCATTGCGTGCGTCTGTCGTGGCGCGTCTTCGTTGGTTGATATAATGGCCTATATCAACCAATTAGTAACTACTCGTAAGTGCTACAGAATATTCGTCCTTATGACAATATTCTGAGAATACAACTCTTATAGTTATATTCTATTAACAATTTCTTATAAATTGTTATGTAACGATTCACCCCGTTACACTACGGCACTTCGAGAATGTCACTCAATGAAGTGGATCGAAACCCCACAATCGACTGAGCGCAACGTGACATGAAATGTTGCTGGTTTGACACCGGACGAATCTCAAAGGTGTGTTGTGCGTAAAATGGCGTCCTCGCCGTCGAATTTCTCTTCGACATGAATCCACGCGGCGTAATTAGACTCCGTCTTCAACTGCTAAAACCAAACGAGCTCAGCCCCGTGAGTTTCTCGTCTTTGCTCATTCGATTTTCATCCCGAGCATGATGAGTCCATCACAAAAAAACTCCATAGCCGGTATGCTCGGCTATAATTTCTCGTCAGTAGCTGTTCAGACTTGAGATTTCTTCGAGTTACTATCAAAGCTGGTGGAGACTGTTTGAGTACCAGTACCTGATCAGCCCAACGAGATTATGGAAGAGCTGTTGCTTCGTATAGAGCCTTTCGTCAAGGCATTCCAGTACTGCCTGCTTTGTGTGCTTAGGATACACCGCACCACCATGACAAGCTTCGTTTTGTATAGCATTTGACCTGCAATATAGCACGATTGTCGTGTTGTCGATTGTAGTTGAGCGTCTTTGGCACTTTCTGAACAGTCCTAACATAAACAAGGGGACATCACTGCAAAAAGTGAGTGCTCCAGACCTTGCCGTCCATACTGCTTCAACCATGCGTGGATCCGAGTGCCGTTAATGATGAACGTACCCAAGTCTCGACGTCCAACCAGTCTAAAAGATGATGACCGCTTACCAAATTACTTGGACCGCGTTTGTGCTGCGTAAAATACAGGGCGTAAAAGCCGATTGCGCACACTTGTTCGATCGTGTGCATACTTCAGTGCCGCGCAATCTCAAACGGATTTGCCGTATGTTTAGCTTGTAGAAATGTTACAGATCCTCATTGAACTGGCACACTTGTAAATGACCGAAGTTTCTTCCATCATCGCGTCGGTTGTCCTTGCTTGATCAAAAGTGTCAACGTAGACACTGGCGTCGTCCTTTGCTTGATAAATGTTTAGAAAGAAGCAAACGGCCAGCATGTAAAAGTCGACTGTCCGCAACAGATTACCTTTAGAGTGTTGTAATGCGAAGTAAGGAGACCAGAAACGTGCGCCAATGACGAAGGTCGTCGACATTACCACCCGGCATGTCAACAGAGGCGATCGACTAGACTATATCCAAGACGCGCGGTGCATCTGCTGGCATACATGTACGCATGCACGGGTATTGTTCATACGGATATGGAAAGGTGACCTTTTGCTACTCGTGTAGACTCAGCAGCCACACGAATTGCCATATGAATCAAAGAGAGCACTCGAGAACTGTTACCATTTGCAGTCAGTTCTGGATGAAGCTTCATACGACGCTTAGTAATATCATTCACCAGAGGGCGTGGCTACTTCCGCACTTCATTACAGCGGGTGAGAGGGTCAAAAATTGTGATACGTGTGAATAAGACGTTGTGCAACAAAAGTAACTGCAACGAAACTATAACACACGGTCAGCAAAACTTGAGCGAGACACGACAGGACGCTAGCGTCTGCTTAGAGTGCCAGCGCGCCAGCGCATTTGTAGGTGGAAGTATCATTACTGTCATTTTAATTCCAGGTATGGCAGCTGGAATAGACGCCTGGCTGTAAACACTATAAGCCAAGAGACCAGTCGTGTTCTAGAACTGCGCCTCATTTTGCAACAGCTATTCCTGTAAAGTTACTATTGCTTTTCGTGACATGGTCGAAACCGACATGAAAGAGGTGGTGTGCTGAAGGGCCACTGCTGAGCCCTGCTCATTCACGTAGCACGTGTAATCTATTCCTGTATTCAATGCTTTATCATTTCCAGCGACATGGTCAGTAACGTTACAAGTCAGCTTCCGTTACAACGAAGCGGAAACAGCCAATCGATCGTTGTGCAAAAATTCATCGTTTCTTTCTGTCGTACTCAGAAAAAAAGCATCTGAGTCACCCACGCCGAGCACGTCTTCAAGTTACTTGTGCTCCCGTATTGTACATTCGTCGGCCACAAGCCATTCCGTTCAACTCGAGTACCTTCGTGCTACCGTCACTCTTCAAAAAGCCTCTAAGAATACATACACCCTTTCTTCTTTGCCACCACCAGCAGCAGCAGTCGTGTGTGTTCCTCGCACTTCTGTATGCGACAACTCAATCCAGTTCGTCGAAATAGCTCGCAAAAGTACCCTAATCGACGCAACGTCGGGCTCTCAATCTGTCGATCTGTGTGTCAGTGTGTGACAGTAGACTCCACGCACCAGACGTAAGTAATCCCAGCAGCTCCCTTCGTTTTCTCTAATCGGGACAAAAACCCGACAGCTCACACAGAGCAGGACCGCAAAAGAGGGAAAGGCCAGCCGCAGCCCACTCTCACTTTACTCGGTGGTTCACTGCCTCTCCTTCCGCGTTTATTTCTCGATCGCGCAATCGTCAAGTAACACGAGCCAGTCGCACTAGCGCACTCGTCCGCATTCGCTCGTCCCCCAGGTCCCTCTCTCTCGCTCTCCTTTCTCCTCCTTTTCTTGGCGTCGCCAGTACGCAATGAAACTCGCACTCGTTCTCGTCGCCGTGTGCGTCACCTCCGCGTCCAGAGCACACGACGTCAGCTGGCCCCACGACCAAGTCGAAGCCGCGCAGGCTCTGGTGTCATCAGGCGCCAGCCACAAAGAGCTCCAGGTGACGTCCGTACTGCAACGGCACTTGCAAACCAATGACAGCTCACCACCGGAACCAGGGACGACGACGACGACGACGCCACCCACGACCAGCGAGCCGTCACCCTCAACGAACCCGTCGCCGGACTCGACAACCGAGTCGCCAAGTACGACCACGACACCCGCGCCCGCCCCCAGGACCCCACCCCCAGAAGAGCCCTCGACGCCACCGACTGCGACACCTCGTGAAACCCCTAGCCCCACGCCAAGTGACCCTCCTACCCCTAGTACCCCCAGTACCCCGCCAACAACCGAAGCCCCACCTCCACCTCCTCCTCCATCTCCGTCTCCATCTCCAGACACTCCTCCAGTAAGTACGACCACACCAAGTCCGTCAACCGACGCGCCCGATACGTCGCCACCAGAGGTACCCTCCCCGTCTCCATCCGGAGAGACGCCAAGTGAAACGACGACACCAGCAGAAGGGACAGGAGGTCCACCAACGGAAGAATCGACCGATGCCCCGCCCCCAGAGACGTCGCCGTCCGTCCCGTCTGAAGACACGACGCCACCGTCGTCACCAATAGCAGCGCCTTCTGTTGAAATCCCCACGTCTGATGCTCTTGTAAACGCCACAACAACCGCGTCCGGTTCCGGCTCGTTCTCTGCTGCTGCTGATCCAGCAGCAGACGCGTCGACGGCGTCGAGTATGAGCACGGGAGTCGTCATTGGCATCGTCGTGGGTATCGTCGTGGCTGTAGCCGTTATGGCCGTGATCGTCATGTGCATCGTGCGTCGACGCCGGGAAGCAGAAGACGATCCGCTGTCGCCCTTTGAGCTTTCCATGGACAAGGGGTTCAACCCGACGCCTGTTGGCTTCACGGGTCAGCACTCGCACAATCCACGGGCGATGGCTGCTGCAGCGGGCAATGGAGGGGTGATGACCAGCACACGGACGCCACCGGCAGGAACAGTAGCAGCAGGTGGCGTCTATGCTCAGTTTTACGACAATTCGATCACGTCTCCTGGTTCGATGAACCGACTCGACGCGAACATGGACTCGACACAAAGTGACGCTGCGGCCAATGGCACGAATCTGTGGTTGAGTGCGATGGAGCCGAAGGACAACGACTCGTACTTGAGCGCACAGGAGTCTCCGCGCTCCTCGCGGGACAGTAGTCGCAATAGCTACGACATGTCGTCTGGCCCACGAGGTGACGTGGACGAGCGCAGCCAACTCAGTGGACACAGTGGTAACAAGGGGAGCGATGAGTTCCCCGACCACCACGACGACAATGACTCGGCTCGTGGGTCTTACGAGCTCTAAGTTCGTACTTGACATGGACTTGACGCAAAACAGACCGTGAAGACCAAGACGAGCGCAGTCTTTGGTGGTGCGACCGGGTCGATAGATTTTGAAAGTGATTGGAATGCGTACGTTGATGACGGAGAAGGTAGTGTGAGCTGCTGACTGCTGCTGCTGCTGGACCGCTGCTTGGTTCAGAAGGGAATGAGTCATTCAGTCCAGCGCTGTAGTCTGCATGGGCAGACAGATACAGTTGAGTCTCGAAGCGCGTATCCTGTGTAGAGAAGAACAGACGATGGTGGGGACTGCAGCTTGCACGTGTAGCCAAGTGAGTGAAGCTACCGATGGATCCACCTCTAATCATCTGGAACGCGCGTGTAAGCACGAGAGTTTATTTTTAATTTATCCCGAATGAACTGCTACCGGCAAGTGCTGCATTGACAGCCGCCCTCTCGACCTTCTGGTGTTACTACTGGCCGTCGCTACGAGCGGCGTTATCGCGCTTCACCTGTTCAATAAAGGCGTCAAAGCCAGCACCGCCAGCTAGATGGTGCACCAAGTCAGTCGGTGCACGATACCCGCTCAGTGGATTGGCACGGATCCCCTGCTCGAACTCGACGACCCGAAAGTCAATCGTGTACTGCTCGTCGTCCATGTCCTGCGGTCTCGCTAGCTCGTCCCGCTGGAACTCCATCAAGTCCGTCCATGAGAAGAGCAGCGTATCCGTGACACTGCCAAAGACGTTGATATCCAAGAGATACACGCGTCGCCGCTTGTCAACGTACACGTCAAAGCTGTAGTCGGGATCTGGAAACACAAACTCGCTTCCTCCTTCGTGAGTCCGGAAGTTGGTCTTGTAAAACTCATGCAGCAGGTCACAGAGGGCGTCTTGCTGCTCGACAAGGAACGCGAAAAACTCGTTGCAATTCCGCTGCGACACGGCGACGAGACGATGGCCGACGACAAAGCACCGGAACAGCATCGAGTCCAGCAGATTGCACCATTTCTTGAGCACCAGGTAGCACTTTGAGCGATTCAGTGACTCCTGCTCGATATGACTATCGAGGGAACAACCAGCGTACGGTTCGGTGAGGTCGTGTACGATAAAGTCCGACGCCTGAAGTAGCAGGAACACGTCGTCGAAGCTCGTGCACTTGAGCGTCCCGAGCATCCACGCCGCGTCCCGAGGCGCACTCCAATTGGTCTTGACAAAGACTTTGCCCCCAAAAGCATCCAGAACGTGCTGCACGTGCTCTCGAACGGTCGCAACGGCGCGTTGCTGATCGTCGGTGAGTGAAGTAACGCTATCGCTATCCTCGTCGTCCTCTGCTTCGTCTACTTTAAACGAGACTGGAGCGGGCGACAGCGTCACGCCATCAGCAAGTAGCAACGACACAAATTCTGAAGGTAGAGGCACGATGACGCTCTTGATAGCCACGTGCTTGAGCTTGTGGTACCACGCGCCGAGCGCGCAGTTGTCCACGTGCGTCGTCGAGTACGGCGGTGGCGGCAACGTCATGGGTGGTAGCGAATATAGTGTACAACACACTAAATAGCTGGTCACGTAAGTAATTTAAAACAATAACCCGAGCACACGCGACGGCAAAAAGTGATTAAACCCAAAAGAGCCCAAATCGTCGTCATGCCGATCATGACGTTTGTTGCGCGCGTGTCCGACGGCATGTTGCTGGTAAGTGTTCCATCTGCTCCCCATTGCGTTCATGCAGATGTCCATCGTTTTCGAGCATCACACAGAATGCATTCGTATGCATGAGTGTCTGTATTTTGATTACAACATCGCGAGATCTCGTACATCATCTCCGAAATCCTGGTGTTTTGTCATAATTTGTTTGTTTTATTGATAGCAGTTATATTATTACTGTTTAAAACAAATTTTACACCATTAAATACCATTGACACGCGTGACAAGACGGTGCAATACTAACTTATTGACGGTTTTCTTACTTGGCTGCAGGTCGCGTCTATGGAAAGTATCGGAGATACGAACGGAAACCTGGACACGTACAAGCAACAAGCCAAGCAAATCCTCAAGAAACTGGACCAGCGCTCACCGACCAAGTGCAGCATCGAGTCGGGGACCTACACTTTCCAGTACGTTTTGCTGCCAAACCGTCGTGGCTTTTGATGGTCTTGCAATAGTAACTTTGCGCTACACACTTCTTTTTGCCCTGGCATTTTCTTGCACTACTGCAGCTACTTGATGCAGGAAGAAGTTTGCTACTTGACGCTAGCGGATCGGGGGTTTCCGAAACGCCTGGCGTTCTTGTATCTGGAAGAGGTGCATGTAGGCTTCGTGGACGAGCTGGAACGAGACAGCGGCAGCAACTGGCGGGACGTGATCACGACAGCTGCCAGACCTTATGCGTTCATCAAGTTCGGTGCGTCAATAGGCTGTGAACTACAAGAGCTAGAAGCTGCTACTTGCTGGTGGAGCTCTTGACGTGTTTTGCTGCTACACAAAAACAGACAAGTTTATCCAGAAAAAGCGCAAGGAGTACGCGGACCCCAACTCGTCTCAGAACATGCACCGCTTGAACGATGACCTGGCGGACATTCACAACATCATGCGCAAGAACATTCAAGAAGTGCTCAACCGCGGCGAACGAGTCGAACGTAAGAGTTCTTTTGCGTGATGGCTTGCAAGGCAATTGCTTATTGTGTGCGGTCTCTCACTGTTGTTTGCTGGCATATGTCTGTTCAGATGTTTCGCGCATCTCGTCAAACTTGGCGGACAGGTCGAAAGACCTAAAGTGGGGCGCCAAGAAGCTGCGCATGCAGGCCATCTACCGCCAGTACGGCCCCATCGTCGCTGTCGTGCTCTTTGTGCTGCTAGTTATTTACATCAAGTTCTTTTAGCTAAGGCAGTGGAGCTCCAAGAGTGCTCGCAATACCGGCAGTACGCGTGTACACCGCAGAACAAGGAATGGACAAATGGAAATTGGCACGATAACTGGTACTTTGCTGTCCAAAATCGGCTAGAAGGCGAGCTTTAAGCAAAACGAGTTGCCCCTGTTGCGTTGAAAGTTCGCGACACAGCGGACAATCGATACCTATTGCCCCTGCAAGCACCAAAGGAATGAGGCAATCATTGCCTGATATGTTAGTCGAAGTGGCTCAAGTAAACCGCTCTTATTGCAGGTTCAGGAATCTGGTCACAGCTGAACAGACCAAGTCTAAAACTGCAGCATCTGTTTGTCCGAGCCGTAGAGCATCTCCTCCCAGCTGCATCGCGCCAACGTACGATCCATCATCCATACGAAGGACAGCATCTTACGGCACAAATTGTGGCGTAACGGACTGATTCGTTATCCGTGCAACCACTCGTAGCATTTGCATAGAGGTCGGTTATGCAAATCTGCTACTTTCGCATCAGATTTGCGGGCCCGAGCCCGACTTGTAGAGGTCTTGCGCATGCTAAACGCTCAACTTGGCGCTAGCAACGAAAGAGAAACTATACGACTGTAAACCAAGCGTGTAAGTGGACAGCGTCTCAGTCGGCAATGCAACTGAAAATCTGCTAACTCGGGTAAGAAACATTGAGCGAACACGACGACACCAACCTCGGAAATAGTCTCATAATCCAACACATGATCCGAACATCGATCGTACCCGCAAACATCAGAAAGCTCACCTTCAATTGTGAGAAGATCAACGACTCCCACTCCTGTCATGTTGCCACGCGGACGGCAAATCCCAACATTCAGTGAATCACCGTCAAACTGATCCCCCAAAGCGCTCACGAAAGCACTAAACTCTGTCGAGAGTAATGACATGAACACCGCAACCAATAGCACGCAACCTTCATCTGCCGTAGTAGATGGGACACGAGCGATCGCATAACATGGGATGAACCAAAACAAGTGTCGGAATCACGTATTCATTACGTCGCCATCTTTTCCCGTTCAGTATCGTGTCGAGCACCTCTTTTACCTACTCGAGCTTGATCTGCGAGATACCGCTGGTTTCAATCAACTGCAATAGCAACATTACAGTCAGTCTCCACTCCCGTATCCACACATGTAAACACCCCTCATCCCTTACCGTGTACGCCCACTGGCCATTGCGCACAAGGAAGCGCTGGTCGAGCTCCGCGCGGCACTTTTTGAGCACGTCTTTGGCTTCGTCCAGCGACATGTCGGGCTTCCACTCACGGTCGAAAATGGATAGACAAAAGTGTGCACCATAGCCGTGTGCACCAAAGTTCACTTTGGCCATAGATCCAAAGTAGTCAATCCAATAAAGACTTGGCTCGCTCGTTTGCTCCGGAGACGCGTCCACAGCGCCAAGCAGGAGATTCACCTGGTACGGGGCTCGGCGGAGGAAGCGTGCCAGCTCTCCCCGCACATAATTGGCTGTGGCCGGACCGTCGAGCGTCACGCCGTTGCGCAGTTCATAGAGCTTCATGTTCTTCTGGATGTACTCCCCGAACGCCAAGCGGTCACTCTGAGGACCGGACGTCACCATCACCTTGTGGTCATCGAGATTTATGGACTAAGAGGGTAGAAAACATACAATAAAAAAAGGTGATGAGAATCACGTTATATATGACGAAAATAAATATTTAGTATAAAAACGAATAGAGACGATCAAATAAAATATAGACACGAGCGATTGACAAGCGTAAAGAGCGACAGCACACACAAAATGACGTGCATAAAAAGGAGCGCACCTTGTCCTCATCGTCCTTGTAGACCAAGATGCTGCGCGCGACTTTGCAGTCCGCTGCCAGCAGCACGAAGTCCTTGCCCACAATGCCGAAGATCGAGTCCATTTAATCGGGAGCTCTTTGTGCTTGGTACGTTGTGGATCTCGGGACCCCCTCGTCCCTTTTTATCGAATCAGCTGCCGACTCGATTGATTGAACAGCACGGATTCGTTGAAAAGAGAGAGCCCTGTTGCGATTGGTAGAAACTCGCTGGAGAGAAAGGATCGAGCGTGATTCGATGTAATTGGTATCTGATTCGCGTAGCTCCCGAAAAGCGCGACCGTAAATAAGGATGCACCTCTTTAATTATTCGGAATATGGTAGATAATAACCTGGCTGTCATGGCAATTTATATTCAATGAAATGTTCTACTCACATCGTTGTTGTTCCGCTAGGGGTCATACAAACCAAGTTAGTGCTGCATCTAGCTTTCCTATTTAGACTTCCACAATGATCTTGCACTAGTCATTGTCGCTCTTGAAGTACTAGTAACGCTCGAAACTTTGGGACAAGAGGTTACTGCTGAGTTCGGAGGGTTGTTGAATACTGTATACACAAGTCATAAAGGGTACGTTCTGCTGTAACTTCTTGTGAGATATCGGGTGGTTGCAGTTACAAGAGCCCGTACGATCGAGTGAGCACACGCGAAGTAACAATAAGAACAGGTCTCTTCACTCACAGTTGAGCTCGTGTTGTTCCTACGCGATTGATGCCCTGACAATAATTTCGTGTGTCGCACACAAGTTAATGAAAACTAAAACCTGTACCATGCCCCGAGGAGATAAAGTGGTGCTGCGCGTGAGGGCCTATGGACAACAGGGACTAGAGTTTGCACTGTCTAGAGCCACTATCAATGAGAGAAGAGATGCGAGTATCTACGTCTTGATTAGCGCATTGACACTCAGTTCCGGGGTCTTGTTATCGTCTGTTAAATGGGATATGATCCCCTCAACTCGACAATGGGTTTGTCTACTTCTACTGGCATTGGTAGTTGCATGGATAATTCAAGCTACAGGAAGCGTCATTGTCGAAGGTACAGTGACTTAAGTACAATTGTAGCGGAACTTTGGAAGCTGGTCATTGCTATTGGAAGTATGAAAACCTGATGGACTAATTGGTGGATGGATGACCTGAACTCGCGATAGAAGCGATGCTGGTGGTGCCGTCTCTTGGAGTGAGGCTGAGCAAGAAGCACCGCAGTGGTGCAGTAAGTAGTAAGGTAAGGATGCGATGTTCCAATGGTTATGGAAGATACAGCTCTTCTTGATGGGGTCTGTCTTTGTGTCAGTTTGTAGACCTGGACAAGATTTGTGGCGTCGCGGTGAACGAAGCCATCACGTTCTCGAATGTCATGTATTCACTGGTACTTATGGTCGACGGGCAAAACGACATGGTACTGCCATTCGAGGTGGGGATTTTTACAGCACAATGACCATATGCGTGCTTGCATTGATGTTTATAATGTCTATTCGTGATAGACGCTCCAGCCACAAGTGGCGGTCTTGCAGGAAATTTTTCAGGAGACAACGAGGTTGCTTTTTCCCGAGGGCAGCGACCGCAAACTGCATCTCCCGGAAGATGTCGCACCTCCACCGTGCTGACGACTCGATATGTGCAGTGACGCCATTTGTCCGCTTCAACGCGACAGTTGCTATCAAAGTACTGCTACTCTTTGTTGTCAGCTTCACCACTTCTTGAACTGTAGGAGATGCGTACGAGCTACCGTTTCTACAAAAGACGATTGCGAATATCTTCCAGCTTCTTCAGCACCTCGGCCGGCGTGCTATCAAGGTCTTCAGCCACACTGGCCTGCTTCTCTGCGCTCAATGTGCTAAACTGCTCGCACAAATCGCCATCCGTAACATTCTTCACCGGAATGTAGTACGACCGGTACGACAGGTGGTCGCGACCGCAAAGGGGTGGCTGCTCCTGGCGCATATACATCTCCAGATGAGTGTAAAAGTCCACGTCCTCGCGCGAAGTGAACGGGATCAGAGCACCTATTCGACCCATGATTGTTGCGTAAATAATCGCTTCAGTTCCGCCGGGAACCAAGCTGCCGCGCACCATGCTTGTAACCACGTCTCCTACGTGGAACTGAGCCACCTGTTCAAGTTTGTTAGGCGCGCCGTTCAGAAGACCCGAGTCCCACAAAATACGGTTGCCCGTAGGATTGTCAATCTCGTCGGAGACTTCGGACGGGAGACGACAAACAAATACGTTGCCGAATTTATCCGCTCCGCACAACGTGTCGTAATCCAGCAAGACGCTACTAGTGACGAAGCGCGGCACACAGTCATCAGCGAAAATCACGAGTTGATTTTCATCCTTCTTATACTTCACAAAGTGAAATGACTCGTGCAAGTCCGATGCGTAAATTCGATCCCCAGCAGCCTTCAGCTCGACCAGAATGGACGGAAAATTGCGGTTCTCGCACTTGCGCAGCATCTTCTTCTTTCCAAGATCATAGATCCGAAGCGCCCGGCCGACAGATACGAGCAGCCGTCCCTGAAACTCACACATAGCGTGCGGGATGTCGTCAATCTCAGTTGAGTGAACGAGCACCAGCTGCATACCTTCGACGACACGATACACACGCAAACAGCCCCCTGCCGGTGCCTTCTGCGGGTGCAGCTGCATCTTCTTTACCGTGCCAACAATAATGAATGCTTCTCCACCGCGGTCGTGGAACACACAAGTAGCAATGCTTCGGGCACATTCGTCCACATCCAGCTCCTCGCAAACCACTGTTTGACACGACACGGGATCAACGATCCGCACGCACGATGCCCACTTGTCCTTCTCTGCGGGAAGCGGACCGCGAGCAAACAACAACGCATCGCTTATCTCGTCCTCATCCTCGTCTTCCTGTTCAGTGGCACTTCGAACATCAGGAATCTGTAGACCGTTTTGCCTCTTGTAAGCAGCTCCATATTCGTTGTGATCACTTTCAATCATAATGAGTCGTCGAGACAGAGAGTGAACCACTGCTTTGCGAGGTGTGTAGCGCAAATTGCACTTTTGCTGGTTAAATGTGTCTCCGAGTTGATCAACTGTCAGAATCTTCATCCCATCGTTGGCTAGCGCAACAATGCCACCAGGGCACTGCTCAGAATTGAAGGAACTCGCGTAGGAAAGCAGCTCGCACGACAACGGAGTGAGGTGTCTTCGCGTCTGATGGAAGTAAGAGATCCACGCACGACTCGAGAGTGCAAGGATCGAGCGCTTTCCTTCGACTGCCACTCGAAACAGCTTCACGGGATTTGTGCCAAGAAAGCGCGAGCGAGAATCCGACAAAGTTGCTGTGATCGGATCGACCAGTGATTGCTGAAGCACACCGTTGTCCAAGCCGATACTCAAGAAAAGCGCTTGCGAGGAGTGCTCCGAGTCCGACGTCGAAGATTCATTCTGCAGCTGAGCGAGGCACAGAGTATGCGGGTGTGACGTCAACGCCAACGTCGACTTTTGCCGAAATAGATCATTGGGATCCAGTGATAGGATCCGAACCGTGTTGTCCCAACTGCCGACAGCCATGAACTGGAATCGCTGGCGACCCTCGGGAACTTCGCCCAAGTCCAAGCTACAGACTTCGAACCCAAGATCTAACTTACCTTTTTCGGCAAGTTCACCGGACTGGCCCAGCTCGAAGTAAATAACTTCACCACCGGCAAGCGAGATCACCACCTGACGAGAATTGGCAGCACAGCGTTCGATGACTTTCTTTCCAGGTGCCTTCCATTCTGTAACAGGCTGGAACCGTGGCACATGTCGAATTCCATTTGCATGAATCTGAAGTTTCGAGTCGTCTTCCAGAAGCGCTACCAACAGCGATCCATGATCACGCAGGAACCCAGACTGCGACACCTCCTCAACCGTCTCCCCTACCTCTAGCACCAGTGTTGCGTCTTCGAAACTCACAACAATATACTTGTCGTACGGGTCCGAGTACGACTCTTTCAGGCACCAAACTGCCTTGGCAACACCTGGCAGCGCACTCGCGGCCATTTCCGTGATCGGGAGACCATGGCGCAGCACACGCAGCGATGATCGATTGCCATTCCCACACAACGCGTACATTTGTGGCGTCTGTTCATGCGCCAAGTCATCCACCAGCAACTGAGTCACAGGACTCAGACTTGGCATAGAGCTCGCTAATGCCAAATTCTTCAGCTTTCTCAACGAGAACGTCGCGATATCCGTGGTCTCCATCGCTAGACTCGAGCACTTGGCCGTCTCGTCTCCTTCTCCAATGCTCAAAAACTGGAATAAATAGTGGTTAGAAAACTCGGATGCGCAAAAGAGCAGTCCCATCTTCGTAATGCACATCGCCGTTGCCACTGGAATAGTATCAAAAAACTGAATCTTGATCTCATCCACGACAGTGCCGGAATACTCGAGCGAGATCTTGTACAGATCTCCCAGTTCAGACTGCAAGAGCACAAAAAATAGGTCTCGCTGCTTATGCGTTGCTGCAGCAACAATCACCACACTTCTCTCCTCTCGTTCTCGTTGCGGGATAGCACATGTCAATCCCACATGTCCTTCATTCTTGTATTGCACCGTGTTCTCGCCAAGGACCAAGACACCTCCAGGTCCGTCTCCTCCTCCCGGCACAGCCACCAGCATATTGGCACTCCGCACCACATCTTCACTCCACCGTCTCGTTACATGATTCAGTCCAAGATCCAGTTCATACAGCACGAGCGTCTTGACTGCCTCCTGAGCCGCACAGCCACTTGGATCAGCGTCAGCATCTGCGTAATCCAGCTCCAGACAGGCAAACAGCGGGTTCTCAAACCCCACGTCCAGTCCCACCACATCAAAGTGGATCGCGTGCGAGCGATGCGCTTCCAACGGCGACGAAATCGTGAGACGACTCGACGCGTCGCGGTTCATCACGTACACGAGCTTCTGTTTCTCCACAGCAGCAACGACCACAGCTCGTCCTTTCGGGTCCACGGCCAAGTACTGACCCGGCGTAATGCGTCGACAGCCGGTTTTCCCATAGGTTTCCATGTGTTTGGCCTGGAACGCCCGCAGCGCCGCGTCCACTTCCAAGACCACAAGTTTGCCAGCATCTGATGCCACGACAATAAAGTCCCGGTCGCCTCCCGTGAGGCGGAACGCCTGCAACGACCGCACGACGCCGAACACAGGCGTCGAGATGAGCACGTCGAGACGTCCAGCAGCGTCGGGACGCAGCAGCTGCAGCAGGTTGCCACGAGCGACGACGAACTCTTGAGCTTGAGGCGCAGAGAAGTTGCCGTACACGGCCAGGTGGACGCCCGTGGGCGGCTGCAGCGTCACGTTCAAGAGGTGCATCCGGCTTCGTCAGATGTGCGGGACGTGCGTTGGTGACAAGGGGGACAAGGAGTGGCTGGCGTGGCGCACACTGGATTAGGAGCGCCTCTCGAAAGAGATGGGGTGGTGCACGTTGATCTGGGCATGCGAGGTTTTGGAAAGTGGGTGTGGCTACTGTTCTGCTTTTTTTAGCTGCTTTTTTTGTGGTCTTCTTTTCGCGACATGGTATTTGTTCTTTCGACGAAAATGCTGCATCGATTGGAATGGGAGGACGTAGGAGATGAGGGTACGATGCACGATAATGAGACACGAAGAGTAGACTACAACGCCAATCATCGACTTTGGACTTCGCATTTTGCACGTCATTCGTCATCATTCCTTGCGACAAATTTGGAAATGTCATCTTGCTGCTGCACATCATGTTTTGGCGATATTGTCTTCATGGACGCATCTTCTTGTGACACAGGCGAAAGACTGCCAGAGTCCAATTCGCTCTGTTTCTTCCCTTCTCTTAGCGGACTCGTGTCACCGCTTTCCACTTTATCGTGTTCCTCCTCTTGTCGTATCAAATCACAGTCACCGTCCACTCCATCCTGTTCCTTCTCCCCTCGTGTCGAAACACAATCAGCATCCGACTTATCTTGGTCTTCTTCAACATCATGTTTTGGGTGGGTCGATAGAAAATCTGCAGCTTCCGTTCCTGCCGTTTGCTCGTACTCTTGCTTTGGCATGAGCTCAGGAGATCTGCCATCACGCACGTGCGTCTTCTTTGCTTTTTTCGGGGCAGTATCACAAAGGTATAAAGACTGATCACCTCGACTTTTTGTGACACGAAGCTTCCGCGTCCTTGGATCGATGGCTCGCCGAAGAAGGCTGAGGTCGCCGTGGTGCCAGAACTTTGTACGAACACGATCCATTACTGCATCAGGGTGAAGAAATTGGGCTTCAGCCTCCATGTGACTGCATTCGTTGGTCTTGCTCGTTAGTTGTGTTTTCAAATCACTTATTTCGTCACGAAGCTCTTGAATCTCTTCTCGAAGCATGGCATCGTTCTTCTTGAGCTCGGAGGTAAGCTCTGCAATCTTTGCAGACACAAATAGCGGCTCTGGAGCTTTGCGCTTGAGATCGTTCCGGTCCATGCAAGAAACCTCGAGTGAGCTCACAGGACTGTACAAAGCTACGAGTGATGAGACCTCGAGTGAGCTCGCAGGACTTTACAAAGCTAAGAGTGATGAGATGTGACGAAGTCACAGCTGGCAAAAGGCAGTTGTCGCTCTGTCCCAGCTGAAAAAGAGAATCTGCTTGAGAACTAAAGCCGACAGTTAAGGTATCTTCTAAAGTTCATTGAGGAGTATTAGAGCTTACATTGCTCAATCGGGACGCACGAATTGCTGTGACCTAGCAACAGAAAGTCATTCAGGTCCTGCCACTGGAATCAGATGATGAGTAAGCATGAAGTCAGCCTCAAGTAGTGGTAAGAGTTAGGCGAGCGAGCAACCGGGTCGTTTTGCTCTCAAGCTACATCGTAAAAGCTGACTGCAGGGTCGATACCAAACAATGCAGTATGCTCGTGCCTGGGTGGTATAGTGGTTTGGCTCTCCCTTTCTGATGGTAGATGCACTATCCGACAGATTTTTTTGCATCGGGACAGAAGAGGTAGTGGCTACGGGACTGTGGTGTCAACCCTTCGATCGCTTGCGAACATTTTCTTTCTTGCATCAAACGACGAGCCTCGTATAGTCTACTGTGTATTCCTGTCTAGCCGCTCGTCGCTAGGTCGCGTGATCACTTAAGTTCCAGCTGCTTTAAAAGTTGTACGGCGCTTCGTTGCTAATACACCGACTGCAAACGTAATGCATTAGACATGCTATAGATCGGCTCGACAGATGCCAGTATTTTGTACATTCGGATCGATAGTGGTTGCTTAGATTCGACTGCGGTCATGCTTATCAATCGACTAGTTTTTATGGATTGATAAGTATGACCGCAGTTGGTTGGGTAGCTGATTATGATTCGATTGATATGGCGTCGATCCCGCTGACACCATTGATGCCACAACCAACGCCCTGTGCCTGGCTACTCGTTCAGGCATGAGTGCCATCTAAGTGATACAGCACATTTACTGAGCTCGCCACCGACATTTTATCTACTGATACAACGCGCTGCTATGCGTGAGACTTCTTCGACCATTGCCGATCTATTGACCGGGTTACGTCGGCATCGCAGCTATGCGCTGTCAGCTGTCATCCAGAGTCAAAAGCGATGGAACCTTTTGGCAATTAACATTGTCCAACGCCCGAAAAACGTTGTCGGTGTTGGAAACCTACGATTTACGAATACTTTCTCCATTCGCAGCTTTAGTGTTAGCATCGAGTTTTGTTCCAGGTACATGACGTTGGCGTGGCGGTGACTTTAGATGGCCACAATATCGACCATTTTACGCAACTGCACGGTACCACGGTCTCCTTCTGACATTGTGCCAACTACCATCCAACGTACTCCCGTACAGCACAGCTAATGTAACGGGGTAGCCCGTTACATAAAATTGACACCAAACGGTGTCGATTGGAATATTGTCTAGTATGACAAAATTCTACCGATATCATCCGGGATGGATAGTATTGAAGGAATATTATCTTCTATAGATAATATTCATTCGCTGCTCCAAGATTGGTTAATTTAAGACATAACATCCTTAGATTACCACCAATCGCTGCTAGACGCGCGCAATGAGTGGTGAGCAGGTTGTCGTCATACGACGGCGTAGTTTAATATAGTTAGAAAAAGACTGAAGTTGTATTGATAGCTTAGCTAAATTAAATACAGTTCTCTTTTTACCCTTACTTGATCGAGTCGTTCAAGTAGATTAGCTTCCTCTGCACGTACTAGTGTACGTGAAGTTTCGCGGCAACCCAAATAAAGGGTGCTTCGTTACACCTGGTAGCACTTCGTAGTCCGTCCAACGACTTTTAAGTGTCCATCCGACATAAACATATTGGACATAGAAGACGACAGCTTTCACGTCACACGTGAAGGCTACTCCCATCTGAGTGACTCAGAATGGGAGGTAGTCGGCCGCATGAGTGTGCTCATAGGCGAACCCACCATCAGTGGTATGTTGGAGTCTCTAAGCAGAGACCAGCAACATGCTGCTATCAGCAAGTTCCTACAAGGGGAACTTGCTACAGCAGCAAGGCTCTCATCAGTCGATGGGCGGACCGACGCACATGCGTCGACCCGAAACCTTGAAGATTGATATCTTAAGGTACGAGGTAATCGATGAAGATTCCCTTTGAGGTGGTTCGTCGAGTTAGACGGCGCCATCAGGGCCCGTCACATCGAGGGTGACGAGATGCAAGTCACCTTCGCCCTGTTAAATTTGACGGGACGAGCAAAGATTTGGGCCTTAGGGCTCAAGCTTCACGACCCAAACGTGTTTGAGTCGCTGGAGATCTTTAAGTTTCGGCTCAAAGAGACGTTTGAGCCGCCACGAGCCGAATTCATAGCACGCTCTGCACTCCTAAGGTAAGCGTGATGTGCATGCTTACGCACATCACCTACGATATTCTTGTGAGTAGCGTTGCGGAGAATCCTGTGGAGGATCATACGCTTATCAACGCGTCCATCTACAGCCTTGTGGATGGGTCGGTGAAGACCTACATGTTCCGGAAGGACTTCCATACGCTGGAAAAGGCGATAGCGGAACAAGAAGACTTCAGCCTGAGACAGTCTCAGGCTAACTCGTCCAAGTATCGTCCGACGAGGCGACAGGAAACAGGCGGTCCTGAACCAATGGACATCTGTTACATCAAGAGCGAGAACTCTCGCTCTCTGAGTCGCAAGCGAACGGCAAGATGCCATCGCTGTCAGAAGATTTGACACTACGCTCATGAGTGTAGTGTCCCGAGCACTGCGACACGTCCGGAAACAGAATGTGATGACCGCTGTTGGCCAAGGAAGGGTCCGAGGCGTGGGTCCGACCATGTCGCCAAGCCGCGACAGCAAGTCGGACCGTAAAAAACAGTCAGGGTCAGTAGGGGCGGAGCACCCTGCTGATCCAGCAACGTCAAGAGAATTTGCAGGACTCTTGACGAAGATTGCTCCCAACACGCAGTATCTGTGTGTTACTGCCCTTAGTGATGAGGAGTCTCTCATCACTTCGAAGATCGAAGTGACAAGTGGAATGTCACTTCGCGCCCTAGTTGACTGTGGGGCGTCGAACAGATTTGTTCGATGCCAGACGCTAGAGGATAGTAGGCTCAACTATGTTTGGATGGATATCCCTCCAACGAGGATGACGGTGTGCCTTGCTACAGGCGCATCCGTAACATTAAACAAACGTGTAGTGGGAATCCACTACACGCTAGAAGGAAAGCAGTACGATGATGACTTTGTCGTATCAGATTTGGATGACAAATTTGATGTCATCCTTGGTCTGCCATGGCTTAAAAAGTACCGGTCATGGTTTAGCTGGCGGCATCGATCCGTGAAGATGCCTGCCGTTTGTTCATTGGATGGCTATATGATGAACGTCTTGGAGTGTCCACAAGCGTGTGGATGTACTACGAGTGAGTGTAATGGCCTCACTTGTGGTACGGTTGCTAGTATGATTGCACAAGATCACAGTGTAGAAGTCCACTGCACTGTGGAACCAGCTTCCGGCACCTGTGTAGAGACACAGGCTGCGCCGAAGGTTCACCACTCGAAGAGATCGAGTAAACTAAAACACGGATGCACACCAAGAAGGTTGCATCCGAGAAGAGAGACTAGTGTTGTTCAGGATGGACAACACGTTGAAGCGAGATCGACTATCAGAGAGTCGATCGTAGAGAAAGACCTATCGACTGAAAAAGAGTCGATCAAAGAGGACATGACCGCGATAGTACACGTAACGGAAGAAAATTCCGGCGTTCCTGAGAGTGATAAATCCCGAGAGAGTTTTGTGAAGGTTTAGAGCCCTAACCACTGCGGATGTGTTTTCCCAGGAAATCACCGAGTCAGTGAATGTCTTGGTGAATGACGGATCAAGTGTAGGCGCTTGTACACTTAATCTGGTGACGCCTTTGAAGTAAGCTTCGGGGGTGGTCAAGCTGTCAACTCTAGAATCTAAAAGATTCTTGCGAGATCTGCGCTGTGACAAGATCTAGCAGATCTGCGTACTCGTCACAGAGGACGAGTACGTCGCCGATATTCGGTCGGCACAAGTGTTTGCTGAGAACGAACGGGTTCTCAGTAGCTCATCAATGGACGAGAGTGTACTCGATGGGAAGACCCGGATTGAGCGATACACGTCTCAATTTTGGGATTCTTTGGAGACGAATCCTTTGTATAAGGATTTGGCTGAATCCAGGGATGTTTTTCCGGAATCTGTGCCATGCAAGCTGCCTAAGGACAAAGGCGCTCGGCATGAGATCGAACTGAACCCGGTTCGAACTACTATGTCATGAAGCAGTGTCCACTGCCGCGTGAACAGGTCACAACGATCGACAAATTCTATGCCGATCGCTTAGCGGCTGGTCATGTGAGGGAATCAACACCCCCGCACAGCTCTCCAAACTTCTGTGTACGAAAGGCCACAGGACGGTGAAGGATAGTGCAAGCGATCAACAAATTGAATGCTGCAACGGTATCGGCTCTAACGCCGATCCCAAGAAAGGATGTCATCATAGATGGTATGGAAAAAAGTACCATCTTTTCGTCCATGGATTTGATGGATGGCTTCTATCAGATCCTCATGCGTGAACGGAATATCCCTTACACAGCAGTGAGCACCCCCAGTGGTATGCTCTGGGAGTGGCTAGTGATGCCACAGTGGCTAAGTTACGCCCCCGCAACGTTAAACAGATGTGTTACGAATCTGTTGCGACCGGTGCGCGTATTCGCACCGAGTTGCTTCAACGAAGTCTTCGTCCATAGTCGGGCTATAAATGGAAAGACGGATGTGGAGGTTCATAGAATCCACGTCCGGAAGGTTCTTACACTAATGCGAGAGCATAAGTTATTCACGAACCTCAAGAAGTGTATAGTCGCAGCAAACGAAATACCACTTCTTGGCTGCATCGTGGGTAAAAACGGTGTACGCCCTGATCCGGAAAAGATCAAGGCGAGTAGCGACTGGCCTGTGCCAGTCGACATCAAGGGACTTCGAAAATTCCTTGGCTTGGCAGCGTACTTGCACAAATACTAGCGCAACTATGCCGAGATGACCGTACATCTATTTCGTCTACTGAAGAAAAACGAGAGGTGGTCATGGAGCGCTAAGTGTCAACACTCTTTTGAAGACATCAATTGAAGCTTGATACAATCGCCTGTCTTGACGATTGCGAACCAAGACAGACCAACCCATGAGGTCTATGACGCCAGCGATTTTTCAATCGGCTGCGCGTATATGCAGTACGACTCAGACGGCGTTAAGAGCGTCGTCTGTTATCAATCGCGTCAGCTGCAAGAAGCCGAGTGAAATTATCCGGTACATGACAAGGAACGCCTTGCTATGAAGTATGCACTGGATAAGTTTCGGGTATATCTCTTAGGAGATAGACCCTTCATCGTTTGTACCTACCATACTTCTTTACGCACAGCCGTAAATAGTCCACACCTCTCGCAATGAATGGCGAGTTGGCTGTCTTTCTTCGCGGAGTACAACTTCTCCGTCGAGTACAAACCAGGACGACTTAATGTCGTCGCTGATACTCTTTCGCGTCGGCCCGATTTAAAGCCGATTGCTCAACACTACAGTAGGGATGACCCCACTGTAGCAACACTAACAGTGAGTGTTCTGGCGTCGAATCTGCTCGACGACGTGCGAAGAGCATACGCAGAAGATGAGTCTCTTCTGCGATTAATGAATTACGTATCCAATCCGTGTAATAAAACTTTGAAAATCTTGTCGTTTTAATACCGCTATTCAACCGAACGGTATTCTGTCCGTGATGGACTGATGTACTATACAGCACTCAACGGCGACACACCTCGTGTCGTCGTTCCGGCGCATAATGATTTGCGGTTGCGCATCATTTATGAGTGTCACGATGCCCCAACAAGTGGACATCGCGGAAGAGAAATACTAACCTCATGGTGAGTCGTGACTTCTACTGGCCCCGCCAGTATGAGTTTGTGCGCAAATACATTCTCGCTTGCAAAGTTTGCCAACGGGTGAAGCCTAGCCCTTCATACCGCGCACCCTTACAGCCTCTTCCGATTCCGACAGAGTGGTGGCAGTCCGTATCGATGGACTTCGTCTTTGGGTTTTCCAAAGACGTTCATATGAATGCTGGTATTCTTGTGTTTGTTGATCGGTTCAGCAAGATGGTACATCTTGTTGCTGTACCGGAGTCAATCACAGCCCAGGACTGTGCACGTGTCTTCATCGATACTATCTTCCGACTTCACGTGTTACCCCGTGAACTCGCGTCCGATAGGGACCCCCACTTTACGAAGGAGTTCTGGCAATCCGTGTTCCTTTCACTTGGAACACGTTTGACGATGTCAACCCTTCCGACCATCCCGAAACAGATGGTCAGACATAACGCGTCAACCGCGTTCTCGAAGGGATACTTCGAGGGTATGTCAACTCGTTTAAGAGCTGGAGTGAGTTCTTGCCGATGGCGGAATTCGCCATCAACAACTCGGTGCACGCGTAGACAACGCACACAACGTTCTTCGTGAATGGCGTACGCCATCCACGTTTACCCGCCTTCTTAGAGTGTGACTCTAGTTTAAGGGGGAGGGGAGTGGACTCGCTCGAACAAAAACCGATCTGGTTCTTGCTCATCACCCGTCGACAATGGTGTCGACGTGATGGATGCCGATGTCGATGCGATCGATATCGATGATGATGATGACGACGATGCTGGTATATTCAGCATCGCCAATGAATACCAAGTGAGGACGACGACATCCTCACTGGTAAAGACAACGTTCTTTCAGCAGTGCACACGAAGCGCACTGCTGTTAAAAAGGGTGAATCAGCAGAAGAATTTCTACTGACTCGCGAAGCGGTTGTCCGCTTCGTTCAAGACTCTAATGCAGATGCACTAGACATACAGAAGAGAAAAGCAGACAAACATGGAAGAGAAAAGTTCTTTCATTTGATAAAGGAGACCTAGTTTTACTGTATACAGTAAATCTACCAAACCACGCAGTGACAAACGTAAGCAGCAGTAAATTACTGCCCAAGAGCATCGGTCCATTTCGTGTGTTGCGACGAATGGACAACGCATACACGATTGAACTGCCTCGTAAGATGCGTACGCATCCTACGTTTACGTCTGTCGTCTCCGACCACACTATCAGTACGAGCCCGTTTCGAGGTGCGAAGAACACCTCCGCGGTCGAGAGCCGAGACCACCTTCGAGTGGTCCCGTTTCAACGAGCCAGTCTGGTAGACTAGCGAAGTGACATGTTCACGCAGTTCAGCGATGTCTCGACGAGCTACAGCCAGCTCGTCACGAAGAGAACGAGTCGAACGTTCGTTCTCAAGTTGCGCGAATGCAAAAGCGGTACGATCGTCCGAACGATCGTGCGTTAGAGAATTGTAATTATTTCTTACAAGATCCTCAAGCTAATATGGCCGAGTCCGTTCGTGAGCCAGGTCATCTCGAAACTGTTCCGTTACACGGTTCAGCTCTTACCCATTAAGCTGATCCGACCAATGAGCCGGATAGGGTGTTCCCACCGCCACCACATCCTTTGGTGGACTCAAGCGGTGGTCAACGCTTCCTAGTGGAGCGTATTTTGAGCCACCACGATATGAATGGCGTCCGGACGAGTTACCTCGTCCGCTGGCGTGGCTATCCACCGGCGTGGGACAGCTGGGAGTCTCGTGACTAGCTGATTGTTGATGTCCTTGGTCTCGTCGAGCAGTACGACGAGACCCACCCGCTGCGTTTGAAGAAGGGCCGTCGGAAAACGAACTCCCAGACGCGAGTACAGGGATTGCAAAGTGTCGATCCCTTCGGCCATCTCGGAAGAGATGCGCGCCCTCCAGTAGGGATCATTAGGGAGGTAGGCCTCACTAAGGGCACGGTTAGAATTGTCCAGGAAACCTGGACACGAATTACCCCACGAGAGACACGGTAATCCTGCACATCTTGAAAGCCGGTGCAACTTGTATCGCGCCCCGACGGGGTTGCGTTTCTCAAAATGATGCGAGCTGCATCAAGTTTTGCGAGCCAAGCCTCACGGCCAATACACTCGATGTTGTGGATGAGGGCATTCCATCCCTGCACCAAGGGTTTGCCGTCTCGAACACGACTACCATTGTACCACCGATGTTTGAAGAACGCATCGGTGAAGAACTCTTCCTCAGCACGGATAGTTTCCGTGGTGGAATCAGGCGGACAAATCTTCCTGCAATCGAACATAGGGATTTGATCCCGTTCGTTAGTCATGCCGGCCAACCGGCCTAATTCTCTGGATGACGGCATCCATGGAGACTCCACTTGGGGAGCGTGGCGCAGAACATTTCGGTCCCTGGTCTCTTGATTGGTTCCAGCATGAGTACTGGCACCAGTGTTACCCCCGATCCCTTGAGTTTCTTCGCTCGTGGTTATGCATGGGTGCATCACCACCATCTCCACGCGTCCTATCGTTGGCTGGACTTGCGTGAGGAGGAGACTCATCGAGATAATCACTCGATCCGAAGATCTCAGTCATGATGCTGCCGCGCTGACCAGAGCCAGTCAGCCTGGCTTTTGCAGCGTCCGGCCCGGGTGATCCCGAGGCTTTAATAGTCGCCTACGAGTCGGATGCATCATTCTACTCGCCAGAACAGATGATCTCTATCTCAGACTCGTCCGGATTACGATTCGAGGTACCCGCTGCAGACGCAAAGGATGTACCTGTCGCACGTGGTGACTCGCCAAGTGGAGGATTCAACCAGGAGGCGACGAATCGCCTGCTGCTGAGGCGTGAGAGGCACTTTCTGCGGCCGCACGCATGCGCGCAGCAGCTCGCGTGGTTTTGGAAACCACGAGTTGGATTGGCAAATGAATGGAATCAGACCAACAAGTAATCCCTTGCCCAGGGTGATCCAACGGTGGTCATCCTGTCCCAATCAATTCTGGTTCAATCAACGGGTGATTGATGGTTAAGGGGGAGGTGTTGTAACGGGGTAGCCCGTTACATAAAATTGACACCAAACGGTGTCGATTGGAATATTGTCTAGTATGACAAAATTCTACCGATATCATCCGGGATGGGTAATATTGAAGGAATATTATCTTCTATAGATAATATTCATTCGCTGCTCCAAGATTGGTTAATTTAAGACATAACATCCTTAGATTGCCACCAATCGCTGCTAGACGCGCGCAATGAGTGGTGAGCAGGTTGTCGTCATACGACGGCGTAGTTTAATATAGTTAGAAAAAGACTGAAGTTGTATTGATAGCTTAGCTAAATTAAATACAGTTCTCTTTTTACCCTTACTTGATCGAGTCGTTCAAGTAGATTAGCTTCCTCTGCACGTACTAGTGTACGTGAAGTTTCGCGGCAACCCAAAAAAAGGGTGCTTCGTTACACCTGGTAGCACTTCGTAGTCCGTCCAACGACTTTTAAGTGTCGATCCGACATAAACATATTGGACATAGAAGACGACAGCTTTCACGTCACACGTGAAGGCTACTCCCATCTGAGTGACTCAGAATGGGAGGTAGTCGGCCGCATGAGTGTGCTCATAGGCGAACCCACCATCAGTGGTATGTTGGAGTCTCTAAGCAGAGACCAGCAACATGCTGCTATCAGCAAGTTCCTACAAGGGGAACTTGCTACAGCAGCAAGGCTCTCATCAGTCGATGGGCGGACCGACGCACATGCGTCGACCCGAAACCTTGAAGATTGATATCTTAAGGTACAAGGTAATCGATGAAGATTCCCTTTGAGGTGGTTCGTCGAGTTAGACGGCGCCATCAGGGCCCGTCACATCGAGGGTGACGAGATGCAAGTCACCTTCGCCCTGTTAAATTTGACGGGACGAGCAAAGATTTGGGCCTTAGGGCTCAAGCTTCACGACCCAAACGTGTTTGAGTCGCTGGAGATCTTTAAGTTTCGGCTCAAAGAGACGTTTGAGCCGCCACGAGCCGAATTCATAGCACGCTCTGCACTCCTAAGGTAAGCGTGATGTGCATGCTTACGCACATCACCTACGATATTCTTGTGAGTAGCGTTGCGGAGAATCCTGTGGAGGATCATACGCTTATCAACGCGTCCATCTACAGCCTTGTGGATGGGTCGGTGAAGACCTACATGTTCCGGAAGGACTTCCATACGCTGGAAAAGGCGATAGCGGAACAAGAAGACTTCAGCCTGAGACATTCTCAGGCTAACTCGTCCAAGTATCGTCCGACGAGGCGACAGGAAACAGGCAGTCCTGAACCAATGGACATCTGTTACATCAAGAGCGAGAACTCTCGCTCTCTGAGTCGCAAGCGAACGGCAAGATGCCATCGCTGTCAGAAGATTTGACACTACGCTCATGAGTGTAGTGTCCCGAGCACTGCGACACGTCCGGAAACAGAATGTGATGACCGCTGTTGGCCAAGGAAGGGTCCGAGGCGTGGGTCCGACCATGTCGCCAAGCCGCGACAGCAAGTCGGACCGTAAAAAAACAGTCAGGGTCAGTAGGGGCGGAGCACCCTGCTGATCCAGCAACGTCAAGAGAATTTGCAGGACTCTTGACGAAGATTGCTCCCAACACGCAGTATCTGTGTGTTACTGCCCTTAGTGATGAGGAGTCTCTCATCACTTCGAAGATCGAAGTGACAAGTGGAATGTCACTTCGCGCCCTAGTTGACTGTGGGGCGTCGAACAGATTTGTTCGATGCCAGACGCTAGAGGATAGTAGGCTCAACTATGTTTGGATGGATATCCCTCCAACGAGGATGACGGTGTGCCTTGCTACAGGCGCATCCGTAACATTAAACAAACGTGTAGTGGGAATCCACTACACGCTAGAAGGAAAGCAGTACGATGATGACTTTGTCGTATCAGATTTGGATGACAAATTTGATGTCATCCTTGGTCTGCCATGGCTTAAAAAGTACCGGTCATGGTTTAGCTGGCGGCATCGATCCGTGAAGATGCCTGCCGTTTGTTCATTGGATGGCTATATGATGAACGTCTTGGAGTGTCCACAAGCGTGTGGATGTACTACGAGTGAGTGTAATGGCCTCACTTGTGGTACGGTTGCTAGTATGATTGCACAAGATCACAGTGTAGAAGTCCACTGCACTGTGGAACCAGCTTCCGGCACCTGTGTAGAGACACAGGCTGCGCCGAAGGTTCACCACTCGAAGAGATCGAGTAAACTAAAACACGGATGCACACCAAGAAGGTTGCATCCGAGAAGAGAGACTAGTGTTGTTCAGGATGGACAACACGTTGAAGCGAGATCGACTATCAGAGAGTCGATCGTAGAGAAAGACCTATCGACTGAAAAAGAGTCGATCAAAGAGGACATGACCGCGATAGTACACGTAACGGAAGAAAATTCCGGCGTTCCTGAGAGTGATAAATCCCGAGAGAGTTTTGTGAAGGTTTAGAGCCCTAACCACTGCGGATGTGTTTTCCCAGGAAATCACCGAGTCAGTGAATGTCTTGGTGAATGACGGATCAAGTGTAGGCGCTTGTACACTTAATCTGGTGACGCCTTTGAAGTAAGCTTCGGGGGTGGTCAAGCTGTCAACTCTAGAATCTAAAGATTCTTGCGAGATCTGCGCTGTGACAAGATCTAGCAGATCTGCGTACTCGTCACAGAGGACGAGTACGTCGCCGATATTCGGTCGGCACAAGTGTTTGCTGAGAACGAACGGGTTCTCAGTAGCTCATCAATGGACGAGAGTGTACTCGATGGGAAGACCCGGATTGAGCGATACACGTCTCAATTTTGGGATTCTTTGGAGACGAATCCTTTGTATAAGGATTTGGCTGAATCCAGGGATGTTTTTCCGGAATCTGTGCCATGCAAGCTGCCTAAGGACAAAGGCGCTCGGCATGAGATCGAACTGAACCCGGTTCGAACTACTATGTCATGAAGCAGTGTCCACTGCCGCGTGAACAGGTCACAACGATCGACAAATTCTATGCCGATCGCTTAGCGGCTGGTCATGTGAGGGAATCAACACCCCCGCACAGCTCTCCAAACTTCTGTGTACGAAAGGCCACAGGACGGTGAAGGATAGTGCAAGCGATCAACAAATTGAATGCTGCAACGGTATCGGCTCTAACGCCGATCCCAAGAAAGGATGTCATCATAGATGGTATGGAAAAAAGTACCATCTTTTCGTCCATGGATTTGATGGATGGCTTCTATCAGATCCTCATGCGTGAACGGAATATCCCTTACACAGCAGTGAGCACCCCCAGTGGTATGCTCTGGGAGTGGCTAGTGATGCCACAGTGGCTAAGTTACGCCCCCGCAACGTTAAACAGATGTGTTACGAATCTGTTGCGACCGGTGCGCGTATTCGCACCGAGTTGCTTCAACGAAGTCTTCGTCCATAGTCGGGCTATAAATGGAAAGACGGATGTGGAGGTTCATAGAATCCACGTCCGGAAGGTTCTTACACTAATGCGAGAGCATAAGTTATTCACGAACCTCAAGAAGTGTATAGTCGCAGCAAACGAAATACCACTTCTTGGCTGCATCGTGGGTAAAAACGGTGTACGCCCTGATCCGGAAAAGATCAAGGCGAGTAGCGACTGGCCTGTGCCAGTCGACATCAAGGGACTTCGAAAATTCCTTGGCTTGGCAGCGTACTTGCACAAATACTAGCGCAACTATGCCGAGATGACCGTACATCTATTTCGTCTACTGAAGAAAAACGAGAGGTGGTCATGGAGCGCTAAGTGTCAACAATCTTTTGAAGACATCAATTGAAGCTTGATACAATCGCCTGTCTTGACGATTGCGAACCAAGACAGACCAACCCATGAGGTCTATGACGCCAGCGATTTTTCAATCGGCTGCGCGTATATGCAGTACGACTCAGACGGCGTTAAGAGCGTCGTCTGTTATCAATCGCGTCAGCTGCAAGAAGCCGAGTGAAATTATCCGGTACATGACAAGGAACGCCTTGCTATGAAGTATGCACTGGATAAGTTTCGGGTATATCTCTTAGGAGATAGACCCTTCATCGTTTGTACCTACCATACTTCTTTACGCACAGCCGTAAATAGTCCACACCTCTCGCAATGAATGGCGAGTTGGCTGTCTTTCTTCGCGGAGTACAACTTCTCCGTCGAGTACAAACCAGGACGACTTAATGTCGTCGCTGATACTCTTTCGCGTCGGCCCGATTTAAAGCCGATTGCTCAACACTACAGTAGGGATGACCCCACTGTAGCAACACTAACAGTGAGTGTTCTGGCGTCGAATCTGCTCGACGACGTGCGAAGAGCATACGCAGAAGATGAGTCTCTTCTGCGATTAATGAATTACGTATCCAATCCGTGTAATAAAGCTTTGAAAATCTTGTCGTTTTAATACCGCTATTCAACCGAACGGTATTCTGTCCGTGATGGACTGATGTACTATACAGCACTCAACGGCGACACACCTCGTGTCGTCGTTCCGGCGCATAATGATTTGCGGTTGCGCATCATTTATGAGTGTCACGATGCCCCAACAAGTGGACATCGCGGAAGAGAAATACTAACCTCATGGTGAGTCGTGACTTCTACTGGCCCCGCCAGTATGAGTTTGTGCGCAAATACATTCTCGCTTGCAAAGTTTGCCAACGGGTGAAGCCTAGCCCTTCATACCGCGCACCCTTACAGCCTCTTCCGATTCCGACAGAGTGGTGGCAGTCCGTATCGATGGACTTCGTCTTTGGGTTTTCCAAAGACGTTCATATGAATGCTGGTATTCTTGTGTTTGTTGATCGGTTCAGCAAGATGGTACATCTTGTTGCTGTACCGGAGTCAATCACAGCCCAGGACTGTGCACGTGTCTTCATCGATACTATCTTCCGACTTCACGTGTTACCCCGTGAACTCGCGTCCGATAGGGACCCC